TCTCTGCCCCCCTTTCCTGTCTTCAGCTGTCACTATCATGAAGGCCATAAAAGCCCCAATAAATATACCTGAAAAGGAAGTTGTTTTTCATGTGTTTTTTTTTCCCATTTTAAAGATACAGCATAAGTGCTCAACTCAAAAGAGGTATGTTAAAGAAGAAGATAACAACTCTTGATTATAACTTGCAGCTTTTAAGACACAGCAGATGTGTGAAACTCTGTAGATGTCAGATCATCTGCCTCCTTTCTGCAGAGAACACCGAAAGGACATAATAATTAATTTCATACACTTGAGAAAGAATTGTATTTTTACATTTGATGATTTCTTGATGTTCAGTGTGTTCTCAAAGTACATTCGCTTTGCACTGCTAGTAATATATAACCTTTTGAACGTGGTTAAATCAGAAAAAAGCAATTCTTGCTAAAGATGATAAGAAGGGGAAGAACTGAGGCCAAGTCTGAAGGTCTGAAGGTAAATGTATACCCGTCACTTTGATGCTGGATATTGCTTCCCTTGATTCATATAATCAGAACATGTAAGGTATTATTACTTGTACTCTTACTATAATAACAAACATGATATTATCAGGTGGACGTGTCAGGTAACGCCAAAGCAATGGCGGAACATATAGAGATCCATTATGTAAAATAGGTGGTGAGGTGCTGCTGAATGCCATTTATCAGTGACTGGGCATCATTACACCTCCTGTGGGTTTAATACGACTCCTGTTCTGCACAGAGAAATGCTAAACTTTGGCCTCCATCTCCGTCAGGCAGATAAGACCCGTAGCAAATTAGCTTTACGAGTGCTGTTTTTGAGGTCCCTTCTGTTTGTGCACAACTGGGTGTCTCACTCGCAGAAAGGGTCTGCTGGTTACACCTTTTCTGGTGCCCTCGTAGTGTTTGACTGCGGGACGATGGCGGGCATTGTCATGTGCTGACGAGCACAGACTGAAAACAGCTGGGCGACACCGCAATCTAGCAAATGGGACTAAATTATAGAGCTAATCCTGTTGATGTTCATGTAGCTGCCAGTCATGCTTTTTCTGCTGCTCTCTCTCTCTGTCTTGCGCTGTCTTTTTCTTTCTCATTGTTTGTTCACTTTAGGTCAATGGTCTTCAGCTGTAAACAGATACAGATACCATGTGTTGTATCACAGACCAAAACAATGGGACAGAGATAATAGACAAAAAATACCTCACCAAAACCATCTTTGTTTGTCTTTCAAACAGTCACCAACACTGGTTTGTTCAAAATAAACTGAGTTAAGATGGAAAAATATTCGTGAGAAGGCTACAATGGGCGCAAGGTAGTCTAATGTTAATCCTTGGGTCAAATGCACAGGCTCAGATTGTTTTTAAAAGTTTCTGACAAGTGGATTCTGGAAATAATCCCTATAAAGATAAATCTTTTGTTTAACCAGAAACAGCCATTATGTTGCTCACCATACTCGAGAGACAGAAGCGGTAATTTTACCTTGCATATCATCATAACTTCATTTAGATGGGACTGAATAAAAAATAAAACTCACCAAAACAGTCTTTATTTAGTATTTCCAGTTTTCCAGCACTCAAAAACTCTGCTTTGGTCAAGGATAACTCCTTAATTCACCGTCATAGATGAGAAAATCAGCAGTTTCAGTCACTCTACTCAGCTGCACATGGAGCAGACCAGCTTTGTAGTCCAAAAACAGAGATGCTGCGATAGCAAGACACACAGTGGGAGTGTGATGTCATTCTCTGCTGAGGACGCATTACTCCACTTTACTGTATTTTTACATAGAAAATAGTTAATTACTGTTATATTGTTTTACATTTCATATGTATATATCTATATATAACCTTCAAGATTAAGTTAAAGAGTCTTTGCTGAATGAAGCCCCATTTTGAAATCATTATTTTTTCAGTTGGATGTGGTGTCATGAGCCACACATGAATGTAGATTTCAACCAAAGATCAGATGGATGGAGTCGGCTTCCTGAACTTATGAGACAAATGCAAAGCTGGAAACCACTCCTAGGCTGGCTCTGACAAGTTCTCTTACCTAAAAGAAATGTTATTGCTTTCCAAAATTACCCATGTGAGAGTTTTTTCATTAGCAGGACAACAATAAAGTCAGACAGTGTAGCAACATTGTGCTACTTCCACCTTCGCTTCTGAGAGAGGGATGTCATTAAAAGATTTCCATGTCAGAAAAATGAATGAATGAACATAAGTCAATGAACCCTTTGAACAAATGACTAATGTTTTTGTTTTTCACTTGAGAATAGTGTCGAACAATGTGGGTCGCATCAACTGGACATTGAAATGACAGCTGACAGAGGCACACAAAGGAACATTTTTAAATTCTGACAGCAACAAAATGACTGCACAAAGGTCACAGAAAGATTAGACAGGTTCCAGTGAACAGGGAAAACACCCTCGGTTACCTGAATGAGGCGGAAGCAGGGAAGAAAAAGCATAAATAGTGAGAGTAAGAAAAATGAAAACTAATCTTCCTGACTGAACTTCAGCTGAGCTTCATTAGTATTCTAGGTGTCTATGTTACAACTGTGCTCAGATTTTTTGCAAAGTGAATGTTTTTAGATGTGTTAGATTCTAAAATAGACATTGTTTCAACAGAAATAAATGAATATATTGATGAATATAAGCAGGTCCTACCTACATGTTATAATATTGGCACCGAGATGCTGTTAAAACAACAGCTATATGCAACTTTCAACAAAAGTTAGCCCCCATTTAACATGGACGTCTAGATCAGCATTATAGAGAAACTGCCAATACAGTATTATTTGCATATTATTTTTCAGTAGAGACAGAAAAACCTGACACTGAATTGGATTAATTGAAATATGTATTAATTTCACTTAACAGTTTTCCTTGTTGTGGGTGGTAACATGAGCCTTTAAGTACATCTGCTGTGCTTCAGTAGATAATCTCACCAAGGATCTCGATGTTTATGAAGAGACAGAAAGTCTAGATGAACTGGACAACTCAATTTTGAAAAAAAATAAACTGAGATGCTGAATTTCTTCTTTTTTACATAGAGAGAGAGGGGGAGGACTTAAGATGCCTGTAAACCTCACTGCTCATCCAAAAACAATCTAAATTCTCCTTCTCTCCCTTTTCTCCTCATTGTTCGGCAACCTGTAATTTCAAATAATGTGTATTTTTTTTTTCCCCTTTAAGATTTTCCGGTTCTGGATCAGTGGATAGGCTTGCAGAATGCTGCTATTGTTTACAGTCTAATTTGAGAGGGTGGAACAGTGACCTGCATCCCAAAGCAGACATTACACCATCCCTGGTGTAGAACACACTTGCACAGGAGGAGCAGGCAGTGCACACTGTGTAACTGCCATAATCACTAAGCAGACGCTGTTGTTCTCGCCCTCACCAGTTTGTGTTGATGCAGGTAACCCGGACAACCTGACAATGTACACAAATTAGAGGCAGGCAGGAGAAGGGTATGATTAATGGTTCTCAATAAGGACAGGCCCCAGAGGAAAGAGGACTGGAGCAGCAGTGCTTATAAATCCCAGGATTCTCTGAGGCAAGGAGGAGGAGGTGGGAGGAGGAGAAGTCGATTCAGGAGCTGTGGAAGTGATGGGGGGATGCTCTATAAAACACGGAGGAGATGCAGAACCCCTTTCTTTGTGTCTGTGCTATTAAACAAATTCCTCATACAGAGCAAACTTATATTCTGCAGACTACAGTGTTTTCATACAGTTAATAAAATATGTTGCACTTTGTCGGCTGCAGTGTTGTTAATTTGTCCCGTGAGACTGGTAATCCTTTGAATAATCTCTGATGTGAGAAGTGAGAGCAACGTACCTATCTATTACAGAGAATTCCCATATCCTCCACTCACTGACTTTCCTTTGAAAAGCCTTTTTCTCACCTCCAAAATTGGAAGTTTATGTGGTCTAAACAGGGGGAACTTTACAGATTGGTGGTTGAGAATATTCTCCTGTATTCCGCCTGTAGTCCACTTTCAAAGATGTCCCGAATAAACACAGACATCTGTCGCTGTTGATGCCATGCGGTGACTGACTGGACGCACGAAAACACTATAAACTGATCTGGTTTTGCAGTGAGGAAACCCCTGCTCCTGTGTTGTGGACCGTTCCTCCGTTCCTCCACATCCAGGCGAAGTGAGAGAGGCGCACAGCGCCAGACGGACCTGAGCGGTTAGTGTGGATACGCAGCGGAGCGCACGACTGAGGACTCTGTACAGCGCAACTCCAACACAAATGGATATTTGCGTGGCTTTGTTATCCCTTTTCTTTTTTACCAAACCAGGTAAGTGTAAGTCTTGTAGCACTTTGTGATCGCACTGAGGAATTTTGTTGCGCTTCTTAACGTCTTTTACGCTCCTCAGTTTGCATCTTGCGCGCAAGCATGTCAGATTTCTTTTTTTGGTAGTGTCTCTGGCAGTTTGTAGAGTTAATATTTTGGAAACAACCAGGACGCAGATAAGGTAAAAGAGATGACACCTTTTACCTTAACGTGTGCGCACGGTGCACCTACAGCCCGTGGAGAACACAGGTGTTGGCTGCGGGCAGATACGGTGCATTTTAGTGGGCAGCGTTCGCAACACCCTGCGTTTAAATTAAAACTGCGTGACTTTTTCCACAACCAGCCATTTTTAACAGTGGAATGCACATAAGCAGTGAAGATGTCTGTTTGTGAAATGAATTAGGATTTAAGTTAAAAAAAATAACCCCCGTCCGGTTTAATCCTCAGAGCAGGCTGAACCATCACAGCCTTCACACCATCTAACCTTCATCTCTCTTCCTCAGTTTTGGGTTTCGGATCAGATCAAGACTACCAGATTGATATCATCAATGAACTTGACCTGGCAAATGCCACTTATGGAATTACCCAAGTGGCGGGGCTTCACAACACCAGCAAAGCCTTCCTTTTTCGAGGTAATAAACGCTGACAGTTTCTTCCACATTAGTCGCGCTGCTCAAGTTTAGAAATGTCTTTGTCTTCTCTGTCACACACACACACGCACGCACGCACGCACGCTCTTTGTTTCATTAGTTAGTGTGAGGAAAGCCACGCAGCGCCACACCTTTTGGTGTCACAGTATTAGCTGGGACGCTGAGGCAGAACACTCCGGGGAGCCTCCTCTCATAATTACTCCACATTTAATTTATCCCAGGCAGCAGATGCTCAGCCTCTTTCCGGACACACTTGAGCGCGCTGTGTGTGCAGGATTTCTACAACACTTCGGCTGTTTCCAATGACATCCACTGTTGTGTAATCCCAACAACTGGCGCTTAATAGATATCAGGTGTGTTGGAATCCTGAAGGGCACAACATGTGGCTTGAAGGTTTATAGCCTCAAAGAAAAAGAAAAAAACACTATACATGCATATAATTATAGATTAATGTCGAAGTCCTAACAGGGAGATAGGACGGTGATGAAGTACTGATCATATTAACCCTGTAGAGAGAAGATGTGTTGCCATTGTCAGAAGACAACTTTGCTTTGCCCACTTGCTTCTCTTCAGTCTGAAAAGGACTCAACAATATTTGGTTGGACTTGTTCCTTCTTCCTGTAGTGCCCTCAAGCAGAGACTGAATTGTTAGAGAGAGGAAAGAGTGGGATACAGTGAGAGAAAGAGAACGATACCCAGGCAACTGTATGAGAGAGAGAGAGAGAGGTTTTCTGTGAGTAGATGCTTGCTGTGTGCTTTTGTAGCTTTCTTTTATTAAGTTGAGTGTTTAGTGTATTTTTTTAATAGGTCAATATTCAAAGGCAATAGGTATGAGATTTACATTGAATTCTCACTGGAGAACTTTATTGACTCATTATGGCCCGATTCTGTTCCAAACTGCACAAAAGTACAATGTTGGGGAGAAACAGGGAGTCCTTTTTACTTTTCTGGCATGAAAATATTCAAATTCAAAGATACTGGCACAAACACCAGCGGCTTGAATCCCAAATAAGCAGCACTGGGTGTTGAGACTCATATCGGCAGAATGGAAGTGTTTGTGTGTGTGTCTGTGTGCGCGTCCATGCATATGGTTTTATTTTCTAGAGTGCTTGGCTCAATGTGCCACTGGCTCTGTATGAATGAAGGCAGGGCAGCTTGGCCGACTCTGCTGAGGTGAAGCTGTCCAAGATTCAAGGCTGGAGGCCATAAAGGATGCACAACCTCACTTTTTACTTGATAGGCCTATGCACACACACACACACACACACACACACTCCTACTCAAAGTTGCTCTCCTTATACGGTTTCCTGGCTCGCAGGGTTGAGGTGCAGCAGCCAGATAGTGTGGGAAACAGGAGGCTAATCCAGTGGGGAAAACTGGACCTGTGAGTGCTGGAGAGGATGCTTGTGTTGTGACCTATTTAACACTTTGCCCACCCTTGTGCTGCTTTCATGGCTCTGTAACCCAGATGGCTCTCAGAGCAACTGCAGCCAAAGTTTCAGTCAAAGCTGCAGCAGCTACCAGATTGTTTTAAAAAAGTGCAGATGTGGATGTTCTAATACATTACAGCAAAAAAACAGACCATGATTACCTGTCTAGTAGAAGCTGTGCTGGAGCCTCTGTGGCTGATTGGGTCAGTGATTATTCAAGATGATTTATGTATGGTGTATGCAATCATGTTGTGCACCAAGCTCAATACAATATTTCATCTGTTTGATTGTATAAATTGCGGAGGAAAATATTGTGATGTTGGTAAAATGGCTGGAAAAAAAGGGCAATGTGGTCGTTCTATTTGGTGTCGATAGCACTGAGAGAGAAAGCGGGGGCTCTGGCAGTGTCTTTGTCTTTGGCTGGACACTGCGACCAGTCTCTCCAGTCACCCAGTTAGGCAGTGATTTACAAACAACAGATGGTTAGATTTCAGCATCTCTTTTCTTACGCTTTTACCAGAATTATGCACCAGTGCAATTCATGAAAGCCAGGAAAGACAGACGAGTCTTATCTGGATGTGATCCAACCTTGTGATGAAAAGAACGAAAAATGCTAATAATCCCCCACTGTGTACTGATAGCGGGAAACAAAGCTAAGCTAATTGTTAAGATATTTGCATATTCGTTGTAGTTTGTACTTTTCATCAACAGGATTTACTTACATTGCGGGAACTTCTGTGACATATTGAATAAAGTTTATCCAGAAGGGTGCTGACCTAGTTTCTCATCGGAAACCCAGATTGTCAGCCTCATTACTCAGACCCCCCTCTGTCCCAATGTTGATTGAGATTTCAATCTAATGATGATTATCAGTTTGTATTTTGGTATCCCCCTGTGGATGCATGTTGGGTCTGTTGGTCAGTCAGTTTGGTCCCGAGTGAAGTATCTCAATTTCATATGGATGCTGGTGCTTTAATCACACGAGACTTTCCTCAGACTGCTAAAGGGGTCCTTAGTTGGAAATACATGTTTAACGTTTTATAAAATACCTGAACAGCTGTTGGATGGAATACCATGATATTTAGCGCAGACATTCTTGGTTCCCAGAGAATGTTACTCTGACTTTGTTCAGCTCAAAGCATTTAGCCAAAGAAGCTGTGTACAAGGTAAGGATTAGACTAGAGGTTTTTCGGGGTCCACTTGGTTCCTAATATTCTAGACCTGACAGGGACCTCAGGGGACCTGGATCCAAGCAGATTTGGGAGTCGAGATTAGCTCTGATCATGAGGTACGTCATATTCATCACAGGAGGAAAAATATGTTTTTGTCTCAAGAGCAGGAGTGTAAAATGTGAATTGTAGAGGCAAATGACATGTATTGCTTCTCCTTTCAACCGTGATTGCTCATTAATTGGTGCCACGTCATGCTGCTGCCAGTTTCGGTGTTCATCTCTATTTGAATGTGTGCTGGTTGACCTAATTTTGAATAGCATCTAATTATCCTCTGGTCTGTTTGAACACAGTCTGACTGTCCTTGGATTCCTTTCGAATCAGGTCTGTCTTTTTTTTTTTTTAAATGTATTTATGTAAATTATATTTGAATAGGTTTTTCATCGGAATGTTTCAGACGGACCAAAAGGTTCCAAGTCCTACAAAGTAGAGCTGTATAGCTGAATCTGAGATGTCCTAAAATGACCACTGTACAAAGGATAAACTATTCTGATTTAGTTAAGAACATGAGCTTTACCTTAATGCCACGCAGTATGAAGATAAATATCAAAGAAAATCAAAGTTCTATCTTAATTCCTCAGTTTTCTCAATACATTTTCCAACAATATACTCACATTGGCTTTATATTCTAGTTTTATGTGAGATTGCTCTGTCATAACATTCCAACTATTTGAAACCATTGCTTCAAGATTTTTTACAATTAGACTAACGTTTCATGTTGCCTCTATCATAAAAGTTTATCATTTATTGGTTATTTGAATTATATGAACACTGAAAGGATGGGACATGAACATGACATGTAAGAGCCCCAGTTATCTGTGAACCTGTTTGGTCAGTATAGATCCCTCTGTTGCTCACTGAATCTCCTACCAAAAATCATTAACGTTAAACAGTTAAATGGTAACAACAAATGCAGCCTTGATCCTGATATCCCTGAGATCTATAAACACGCCTCCTGTCAGCCTTTTAGGCCAATAATTCTTAACACATAACAACTCTGCAGTTTGGTCTTAGGACTTAAATGGTCCTTAATTAATGTTTAATCAACCTTCCTGTCGATTTTAGTCTAAACATTTTTCCCCAACCTCATTTAAAGCAGAAATCCACACCGGAATACCTCGCCACTGTCCAATAAAGAGCTAGAGCATTCCCATCCTTTGTTTTAACTGGCCAAATCCAGCATCTAATGTATACAACAAGACATTTCCAGCAAACTACAATTTGAATTTTATTTGCAGATCAAAATGTCTAAAAAGTCAGCTGTCAGATTTTCTGATGCTGCATTCTGATGCTCCTTCTCCATGTGGGTGGAATACCTGCGGTGTGCGGCACTGTCTTTCATCAGTGTTGGCACTGTAAAAAAGGCATTGCTTGCCTTGATGGTGTGTCAGGGGTTTGGAGGTTTGTCCAAGCTGCAATTAGCTTCTTTTTTTTTTTTTGCATATCTGTCTCACAAAATGTAAAACTGACCTGCAGACAAAAAAAGAACTGAGAAAGTGTCCAAATCTAGACGAAGAACAGCTTGTATCGAACAGAGTCAGCGGGTTGTCACTCTATGAATAAGTCAGCAAATCCTGCTTTATGAGAAAAGCCTACCAGTTAAACAGCATTTACTAAACTACTAAAAGCTGACGCTAACCTTTTTTGAAATGGTGCTTTCTCTGGCAATAGGGACTTGTACTAAAGCAATCAAAATACAGTATTAGTTTGTCTAATCTGATTCTGGTTCCACTGGCCATCCTGGTCAAATATAATGCTGCTAGGTTATTATCCCAATTATGAGGCACATGCTCCAGCTTTGGTATCATTTATTGACCTGGTTATTGAAATCAGAATTCACCGGGCTGGCTGCAGTGAACTTGTGACCTGGTGGAATACTAAAAAAGTCAGTTGATATTACTTTAACTGTCCTCCGCTGACAATGCAAACTGGTGAATGTAAAGTTACACTTCCAATTTTAGTACAAATTTAAAGATGCATGCAACTGCTTTTTAGATTTTCCATTATTCCACACAGAGTACATTGGTAATACAGAGGTCATCGCTGAGGTCTCCTATCCAGCATCTTTTCTGGATCAGTTCAGAAATGGTTGCGGCTGCCTCTTCTATAAAACACTACTTGTTGTAAGGAAAAGTATGTATTGTGAAAGCTGAAATAGGTGTGTAATGAACAGAAAAATCGGCGACTTTGAAATCACTCAATTTCTGCAATTTCTCACGGCTGAAAAGAAAAATGTAATGTTTCAAACAAGGGGTCTACAGTGCAGCCAGCACTTTATTAACAGCAGAAAACAGACAGTAACCAGCTGCTGTACCACCACCCT